TGTCCCCTCACTCCCTTCACCCTTAATGCCTCACTGATTTTTTCAAATAACCCCGCAAAGCTCCACAATTTCAAATCCAATTCCAAGTCTGTCTAGTTCAAAGAAAGGCACCAGGTGTTGCTTCAACTTTCAAAGCTTCTTTGCTTTTCTTTTCCTTCAAAGATTAGGCTTCCAGAAGTCTTTTCTTTCAAGGAGATCCAGTCAAGGCCATGCAGGGCCGGATCCCTTGAAGTAAAAGACCTTTGTTGGTCAAGGCGAAGACGGACCTCATAAGCTTCTGTTGTTTGTTTTTCCAGTCCCAATGGTAAGGCATCAATCATTTTACCTCTCTATTTATTTTCTTCTTTCTTCCTTCCTTTTTTGTTTTTCAAATGTCGAGTTAGTGTTCTTCATAGTTTGATTTTCAGTTTTGTAAATCTGATTGTTCTTTGGATGTGTTTAGTTAGTAATTTTGTTCTATGGTGCATTAGTTTGTTCATTTTGGTTTTGGAATCACTTCAATTTGTTTGTTCAAGTTTCATTTGGTTTGCTGATTTAGTTTAGCTCAGGATTAATCTAGCTTATAGAATAATTAATCGTTTCAGTTATCTTTTTTATCATAGCTTAGTATGAATACATCGTTTAATTAGCTTTTAATTTGGTTTAATTTCATGTTAATCTAGAGTTTATTAGGAATTGGTTTTATGTGTCAATTGAAGCATGTTGAACATTTCAGTTTAATTTTGATTGCATTAGATTTAGAATAATTAGGGTTAATGTTAGAGGTATAAACTACCTGATTGCTCTTTTCTTCTCCATGTTTCCGTTTGGTGTTTAATTGATGAAAGCATGCTTGAATCTCATGAGTTAGATTAATTAGGTTTCCATATTCTTTCATGTTAGGTTCAAGTATTAAATTAGGTTTTGATGATTTATTCACTCTGTTTCTGTCAAGTATTATTCATGGTTAATTAGATAAGCAGTTTTTATTGATCAATTGGTTAGTTTTAAGTTTGAATTAAATCAGCATGTTTTTGATTCAGCATGATAATTTGGTTTCTTGATACTTTCTGATTTTGTTTGGCTTGGTTTGAAAACCAATAGAATCTTTAGGGACTTATTTGAACTAAAATATTTTAGGTAAAGATGAAACAGGTAGTAACTTAAAGGGTAAAATTGGATTTTCACTTAGGCTAAAAATCAGAAATGTATAGTTGTCCTAGCTGTTACAAAAGATGCTGAATTAGGATAGGAATGACATCTGTATTGTACTATTTTCAGAAGTTTAGGATAAGGAATATACCCAAGATATACCCTCCCTACGAAGCCTATATATATAGGTAGGTTCTCTCATTCTGAGATTACACAGATTCAGCCTTATTCTCTGCACAAAAGTTCTATTTTCTTTCTGAAAAGTTCAGATTCCAGAAATCTTAAAAAAAAACTTCAAAACCTCTCATTTTCTGATTCTTTACAAGTTAAAAACATGGTTTGAAATAGAAAGCTTTCTTGGTCTATTTAGCTGGGATTCCTGGGTTCAGTTTGCTGGTTTTTTGGGTTTGAAATTTTGATTCATTTGGGGGACAGTTGTAGCTGTGTTGTTTGCTGCTGTTGTTTTTCTGTGCCTTTGCAGTTCTCCAACAGTTGTTCTTTCATTTTTATCTGTTGTCCCAATCGATGTTTCAAGGTACATATGTTTCCTCCATGTTTAAGTATTTGTAATTAGAACTTAAGATGAATACAAGTTGGTCTTTGCTTTGCCAATGTTTGTATATTTGTATGTTTCCTGCTGTGACTTGTATGCTGAAGTTACAATAGTGTTGAAGTTCTTTTAAAAATATGTGAATCCCTGTTCCCTTGGGTTTTTATATTATGAGTATTGATTTTCTTGTACGGGTCTAGCATTGGTTGTTGATATATATGTTGATTTCCTGTTGCATTGGTCATATGATATGATTAGATCCCCATGTTTGAGGTTTGGGTAATTAATGAAGTGTGTGGTTATGTTTCCTTTATCTCCCCTTCCTTCTATCTGACAATCTCCTCTTTACTCAAAACCTTTTCTTTCTTTGTTTGTTCTAGCTGTAAGCTGTTTACCTGCAGATTTGGTCACTAGTTGGCCAAATCAGCAGGTCCAAAGGCTAAAAAACTCAAAACTCTACCGTTCAAGCGTACTGAAATCCAGTATTGTTCGTATGAGAGGCACTGCTTTGATGGATAAGCAATGTCCAAGAGAGGCAGTGTTCATTGGTCATATGGGGATTGTAATAGTTTAGTGTTTAGATTAGTATTTTATGTATTTAATAGGATTACCATGTAATAATTCTGATTTTCTTAAGAAAATTGTATTCTGATGGGAAAAGTTGTAATAAGTTAAGCTTTAATTTTGTTTTAAACTATTGGTAGGACTGCCATAATGTTTTCATAAGTATAGTGGCACAATGGGCTAAGTTGTGAGCCCAATCCGTAAAGGTAGTAAGTGTTGTTTTCATTTAGAGTAAGGCTGAATTTGAGGCCCGAATGAATTTGATCAATCTGGACTTAGGCCATTGGGCCTGGGTCCTGAGCCCAAATCCAGGTTTTCATTTTTCCTTATAGATCATGGTTTAAATGTATGCTTCTCTTATCTTGCAACTCATGTGGTTAAATTTTAAAATTAGGATTGTGTTTTGAATACTTGTTTTACTTAGAAACAAATTGAGATTTGGTTGTTGTAAACACGTAAGTGTTGTTAACTTTAGAGGTGGATAGGCCTAGTGGCAAAAATAGGCCCGCCTACATATAAGCCCAATATGGGTTGTTCTATTTCTACTCAACAAAACATTTCTGAGTCCTTTCCTTTTAAGGAAAAAGTCCAGCCCTAAAATAAGTTCAAGGATGTCGATCCCCTTAGCTAAATAATCAATGGGTCATCGCTGGCCAATAAATTCTAAGCCCAGCCTTCCCTTTTTTTTTTTAAGTTAAAGGTTTCTTAGTTTGGACTCCAATTAGTACCCTTAGTCTTAATTAAATAAAATGCAAGCCTTTTTTTTGGTAAAAATAGTTTGAGGTGTGCCATTTTTCATTAAATGATCTATGACCCTCATATAAATAGTAACCTAGTATTAAAATAACCCTAATAATCGTAGTTTGCTTTAGGCTCGATTTAGATTAATGTTGCAATTATTTATACGTTCGCGTAACATAATTGCAAATTTAATTCTAAAAAGTAACTCGAGGGATGCGTTCGCGCAACTTCAACCAAACTTTTTCTTAATAAAATCAACAAAGCGCTATTAATTGTGGACACATTCGCGTGACATGATTTTTAACGCGCCAAAGGAGATGAGTATATGTACGTGTAACTCAATCCTTTAATTACGAATAATTCAAGTGATTAAAAGCGGTAAAAGATAAATGCACATAGATTCTAAAATGAGTAGTTTAAGCAATTTAAGCCAAGTATAAATCGCTAAGTGACCGTGCTAGAACCACGGAACCCGGGAATGCCTAAAACCTTCTCCCGGGTTAACAGAATTCCTTATCTAGAATTTCTGGTTCGCAAATTTTAAAAAATAAAAACTTCCTTGATTTGGGATTTAAAATAAACCGGTGACTTGGGACACCAAATAAATTATTTTAAGTGGCGACTCTTAAATTAATTAAATAATCCCATATCGAATAATGTCACTTTAATTGGAAAAACTCCCATAAACCTCTCGGGGTGTTAAAAGGAGGTGTGACACAGCCGGAACTCCATTGAGGCCAACAGGGGGTGCGTCGTTCCCTGGTGCTATGTTATCGTTTTCGTCGTGGTGGCCGAAATCATTATCAAAGTGTAGAGGTGCTGATTGAGAGTTTGACATTTTTTAGTCCTGTAATCAAAGATACTTCAAAGAACAAGTATAAAATAGTGTGTGTCACGAAAGTTCGTACCAGGTAACCACTATATCCTTATCCCTACGGTGGGCGCCAAACTGTTTACCCTATAATCGGATAACAATTGAATTTATACGCGATTTTAAGGATACGTGATATAACTTGGTACAGATTAAGAAGAATAAATTAATATTGAAATTGACGATAAAAGAATAAATGCAAACCACATAAATTGAATAGCCTTGGCCCTCGAGTTCAGTCACCCTTGAACCAAAAGATGTTTCAACTGACTTATGAACATAGTAACAAAATAATGAAAGTTAGAAAATAACAGTATATTTCTTTGTATTGCGTCAATATCATCTGTTTTACAAATGATCAGACCCCCTTTATATAGTAGGGGAGTCCTACTCTTGATATAGTTCTATATGAGGTAAGAAATTTCATAACTAGCTAATTAATCGGCCTCTTCTCAATACGTGTCGGGATTTCTGCTGTGATCCTCGCCCGATTGTGAATATTTTGAATTTTCGTTATTTGGCTCGGTAAGTTTTCCTCGATCTTGCTTGGTCTCGATCTTAGCCGATTTCGATCTTGATCGGTCTCTTGGTCATGAGCTCGACGATCTAACTTTGCACCATGGTTCGATATAACACGAGGTCGAACCTTGACCTATCGTATTCCAATCTCGATTAGTCACAAAAAGAGCAAGCCCGATTTTGACCGCATACAGCTTAAATCATTCTAAGGTTATATCCAAGAAAGGAGAATAGCTTCCAGGCTTAGAATCTCCTACTTATCTCGATGGCAGGTACGCACATTCTAAATCACATTTTTATTATGCGGAGAAAAATGTATTCTATGAAAAATATTTTCTTGTTCTGTATGATTGAATTTAAAAATATATGCTTATGTAATCGTTCAAAAATTGAGAATAGGGTAATATGATTGTGCTGGTGATATAGTTTCAGTGTTAGCAATAATATATTTAAGTGTTAACAAAACAAATGATATATAATAAAAGACAGAAATCTTTGTAAAGGAGCATAACTTCCACCCATAAGTAACAAAAGTTATTCTCCTATATATTATTGGAAAATACTTTCTAAGAAGCAAACATTTTTACAATTCAAGGTAAGCAAAATCAGAAATATAAGTTTCATTTTCGAGTACACAGCAACGATAAAATTACGTCTTAATCTCAAATTTCACTGACCATATCATTCCATTAGTTGCCAAAAGTGTTTTCCAACAAAAAATATATATTTTGCACTATATATGCACCACCATCCAGGGAAAATATTTTTCACTATATAAACTCTACTACAGAGCTACTTTTCCATTACTATGGAGTCCAACTCCCAATAAGAATCAGCATTTGGCTTCTAATCAGCGTCTTCAGGTAATCTGGTTCTTTCAACATCAATACGGTTCTTTTGATATCTGCATAGCACATCAGCAACCTTTTATATCAACGCAACAAATATTTTTGAGAGATTTGGCTCTTTGGGAACTATTTGTTAATCATCAAAATCAATTGGACAGGCAGATCATCAACATCTTCTTTTTTATTTACTTCTTCTCCCTCTTCTATGAGATTCGTTGGCAAGACATGAAGAATCCAGGAAGTGTCAACCAAGACCCTATCTTCAAGAATTACGGCTTACCTCCTAATGTAGTTGGTTATCTAGGTAATGTTTTCAATCCCCTAAATTTTGCACCCATTTTGGAGGCTAAAGAAAATTGCTAATGCTAAGTCACTAATAAGCCTGTTGATTTCTTTATAAGACTTCGTATGACTTAATAAGAAAAAGCTAATGTCCTAGTGGATTTGCAGGGAGATTGGCAATGTTGGCATTTTTCGGATTTATAGTACAACACAATTTGACTGGAAGGACCTTTTGATAACCTAATGCAGCAGCTTTCAGACCCATGGCACAACTCCATTGTCCAAACCTTCGTGAAGCAGAAAACCTGTTTGATACTACGCCAAAGATACTGTTATCTTTCAATCATGAGTTAGTGGTTTTGATCAAGAATTGAGCTTTGTTATAAACAAGTGACCTTTAATGTACAAGACGACTAGAATTGCATGCATTCTTACTCGGATTATTTTCCTAGATCATCAAGAGAATATTTGCTTTCCAAATGGTCGAGAAGCTTTTTTTATTGGGTTTCACACCCAGTGTCCGGTATCAGCACTGGGCCCGGTTAAATCCGGATTCTCACCAGAAATCCCACATTGGGAGGTAAAGCGCTCCCTAAAAAAGGCGACTCCATACCCAGGGCTAGAACCTAAGACCTTCGGTTGAGAAGCTCACTTAAAGTTGATCTCGTTAAGAGAAAGCTTTTGCAGAAGATCTTAAATTTTGCATCGGAACAAAATTGCAAAAGAATGTTCCGGTATTTTTTTCCAGCAAGACTGAATCTATTTTTATAGTGTCGTATTCTTACATATCTGTTGTTGTACATATCTTCACTTATTCCCATGTCTACTTACCTGTTGTTGCTACTACTGTCTGTTTATTGCTTCATTTTTATTTTTTTTTGAGCCGAGGGTCTTTCGGAAACAATCTCTTAGGTAGGGTAAGGTCTGCGTATACTTCACACTCCCCAGACCCCACTTGTGAAATTTCACTGGGCTTCTTATTGTTGTTGTTGTAATGTTCCAGTGTTTCATTCAAGTAAAGCAAGAAGTCACTCTTTTGTATCATTTCAATCTACGACTGTAGCTCATATTGTGCATGATGCTATTGTCACATTGGCAGTTAGACCCTTGACAAAGCTGATCGACAAGCGGCATGGCAGTGGCAAGGATTTGGCATGATGGCCTTGCCATTGGCCTATGTGCTGGGGAAATTAACATGCAAGACAATGCGGGTGTTGTCAATGGCAACAAACTGTTGCAAGGGCAAGTGTGACGGACTACACTTCTATTTGGGGGCTAAGGTGTGACGGACTACACTAAAGCATGAGTGGGTTGCTTAACAAAGGCCAAGTCCTTGACGGAACTAGGCGGGTTGGATGGGAGCTTAACAAAGCAAAACGGGAAAGACCTAGGCGCTAAGATGAGGCAGCTTAGTGCCAAGGCATTGGCATTGGCAATATGATGTTGCCATGGCCTAGGTGAGCGGGCTGGCACCTAAGTAAGTTGTGGGCAAACGACTTAGCAAGGGAATGGCATCATGGCTTGGTGACCTGATGCTAAAATCAGCTTGGCATTGGAAAAAGGCAGATTTGATCAAGTAGGGGCGACTTGACAAGAACAAGCGACTGTGGCAGCGGGCGGGCGGGCGGCTAAGTCATGGGCGACAAGTTGTGATGATGGCATTGGGGCGGAGCAGTGTCAAAGGCCAAGGCTAGGCACAATGCCAGCCTTAGGCGTGCAGCAACTGGCTAGAAACGGCACATGCAACGCACATGAAGCAGTTAACGAGTGTGTTGTGCAGTTGGGCGGTTACAACTGCCATGTCCAAAGAGTTGCTGATTATAGGGCTAAGTCTATGCACGTTTTTAGGCATGTTCTAGCATGACATGCACGTTTTGATCATGGGTGATCATGTCCTGTCAGTTGGGGGTGTCAACTGAAATATGAAAACTGAAAATGGGCTGACTATACTATATATATGTGTGTGTTAGCAGCCCCCAAAACGGGCTAAGTACCTAGGGAGGGAAATTAGCAAAGATGTAGGCATAGGGTTGTCTATGTCAAGGCTTGAGCATGGCAAAATATGTGTCATTGCCTTGCCAAACGAGTGGGCAACACGAGACGCCTTAGGCAGGGGCTTTTATAGGGCAGATTCGTGCAGGTGTCGGCTACTTTTGTGAGTTGGTGTCTGCCAAGGGTGGCAACACCTTGCCAAACTCGAGATTTTTCTTTGTAATTTCATATATTATAAAAGGTTGGGAAAGGGTTCCCGTAAATCTGTTGTGCCTTTATTTATTTACGTTGCCTTGAATTTATTCTAAGTGTTAAACCTCGGAAGCGAAAGAAAATCGGGCGAAGGCTGAGCCAAGTGGAGACTTGACTGCCGCACAGCGGGCAGTGTTTTCGGCGGACAGAAAACGCCCTTGTGACAACATGCATGGTGTGTGTGCTTGCTAACACAATAGCTATGATTATTGGAAAGCAAAACTTACCAATCAACAGGAAATGTACATTTGAAAATTTTCTCTTTCCTGGTAATGACTGAAGACCTCTACTAGCTAGGGGCGGGCATAATACCGATCGAACCGAAAAAAGCGGCCGAACCGTGAATTTCGATTTTTCGGTTTCGGTTTAATCGATTTTTTGGTCGGTGCACGGTTTTAAAATTATTAATTTTCGGTTTTTCGGTGCGGTTTACGGTTTTTGTATTTCGGTTAAACCGAAAAACCGAAATTTAGGTTATTGAGTTGCGTCTGATCATCTTCCTCGCTGATGGAGAGGTGATAGCCTGCACATGGCATTAGAAATCAAATGCTTAATAGTCAGCTGTTAATGATAATGTGTTTATTATTAGAGTAATAAAATTAGACGTCAGAAAATTCGACTGCTTGTTTGGTCCATAATGATCCCAATTGGCATGTTGTTATCACTAAAAAACAAAAATGTCACTCCTGCTTTGGCTTTTCCTTGCAGAGCAAAGTTGTCATCAACAATAATGTTGACGGTTTCAAGTATTTGTATTCAGATTTTGACATACATGCAACATAATTGAACTGATAATGCTCAAAATATAGCCTATGTTTTCTGCCTGAGTCAAACTATGCTCGCGTAATGTGAAGGAGATGTGAAGTGTAAACCTCCAGAACTCTTTCCAGCTTTTCGCATATATTTATGTACATGGACATTTTTTCAGCTTGCATCACAGAGACCAGTAGCTGGATCACAAAATCCATCTACTCTTAATTACAAGGTGGTTGTTGACTTGTTGTATACCAATTTGATATCAAAACAGATTGTTTTTTTCTGAAGGCTGTCAAATTGTCTCCTAGTAAATCAGGGAACAAGCAGGGGAAGTCAATGTCATTGATGTACATAATTATATAAGGACAGACTTCGTTGCTCCTACAAGTCTACAACCGTTTGATACCGAAAATATAAACCGGAAATAACCGAACCGAACTTTGAAAAAACTGCACCGAACCGTAAATACTTTGGTTTGATTTGGTTATTAATATTACAAAACCGAAAAAAGATAAACCGAACCGTATTTTTATAATAACCGACCGATTCGACCGATGCCCACCCCTACTACTAGCTACAACAAACTCTTGGAATCAAAGTCTAGGCAACTCACATTTTAAAGCAAAGTCCTTTTGCTGCAAGAAATAAAGCCACAACCAAATGAAGGAGAGAGAGATGGTCAAATTACAAACAGTATCTGTAAAGATGGTGGTTTGTCCTGTGAATTAATAATGTAAACGCTCAATCGATGTGCTTACAAACAAGGACTTAATTATGCCCCCTGTAACGCACAATGGTAAAAGGTAGCACTTCCTCCTAGAATTTTTATCCGAGGAAGTAGCAACATGAATGAGTTGGAGGTAGGCAACCACAACCAGATTAGGAGCCCAATCCAACAAAAATACTCTCATGGAAAAAGGGAAAATTATTCCTCGACGAATAACCAATTAAGGTACATTGACATACAGTAGCACCTCAAGCGAAGGTCTTCTTATCTTGTAGCAGTTACAGTGACTGAAGTATGACATTCCCAGATTCAGACTCAAAACTTTCCTCCAGTTCTTGTTTTCCCAGCAGTCTAGAGGAGGGCATACATTTCGTGTCATCAGGACAGTCATATGATTTAAGCTCCAGAGAAGTCACAGAAAAGTGGCTGTCAAGTGCAGATATGGTTCTATTTATGAATTCTTGCCGAGATATATAATCCTTCATGCGGCAGATAAAGTCTGAATGGTCTCTTGCCTGAATAACCAGTAGGCAAACTCTCCATCAGAGACTAAAGCAAGCAAATTACTAATGTTCAATGCAAAAGTAACTTGTACAAATAAAAAAGTAGTGAAGTATCTCATGAGCCAAAATGGCATATTGTCAAGTATGAAGTAACAAATGAGAGTAAAATAGGAACAAGGCTTCAGCGTGAGAATATTTAACTCACTAGAAGTTCACACATAAAGACACCCTTCAAGCCAAAGAACATAGGTGTAATTATCATGCTGCAGTCTTGCTCAGCTATAAGTTGGTCATGACATGCATAATTCCATGGAGAAACCATAGCAAGACTTCACCGTGAGAATATTTTATACTCAACTTGAAGTTCAAGCATAAAAGATCCCTTCAAGCCAAAGAACTTAGGTGTAATTATCATGTTGCAGTCTCTCTCAGCTATAAGACTTCCATGGCATGCATAATTCGACTGAAAAACACTAGTAAATACTAAGAAGTTCAAGTTCGCAAAGCCATCTAAAAAGCATGTGGAGGCATTAAAGTGAAATAAGCTGGAAAAGTAGTATAAGCAGAAATGAGAGCAGGGTTGAGAGACATCAAATGACAGAGTTAGAGTACAGTAAGGAAGCTCATGAAAGAAACAACTTTTTGTTACTTCGATACTCTGTGGAATACTTTACCAAAGAAAGCACCGGCTGCCGCTAGGATTGGGAATATGTTACGTCCTTTCGAAGAGGTGAAAGCAAGAGCATGATCTGGATGTTGGAGAATGTTCAGACACATCAGATTGCGTTGACTACCATTTCTGAAAAAATGACTGATCAAGATCGAACTGGGAATAGGTTTTATCACCAGTTGCTGATACTCGACTAAATGTTCTCTACGTCCAGAAGTCGAGACAGTGGCTTAGAAGGCCTCCAGGGACGAATCTGGCTAGAAACCTTCAAGCCACAGAATACTCAGGCTCCTAGTGAGTTAACAGTGTTAGAGCCTAGAGTGAATGCACCATAGAGATGACCAGGAGGCTCCAAACATAACAGGCAAACAAGAGCTCCTCCATATTTACTTTAGCTACTAGAGCCTCAAAAGGCATTGTTTAGACACGGCATTCCATAAGATAAGATCATGAATAGCTTTAGTTATCTTGCACATAAGGAACTCATCAACTTCCCAATCGAGACCTTGGTACAGGCACAAGTAGGCTCTGACACCAGTGGATCTCATATAATAAGTAGAAGTTATCTTCCTGTTTTCCCTTAATAATATTTGTTACAATTATATGATTATACTTTAGATTGAGTTAAGTGGATTTATAAAAAATTCTTATTTAAATGACATTCAGACATTTAGAATTTACGAAAAAGAATACAGATAAATGTAAGTTTTCCAACTTAACACTGAAGAAAATTATTGTGAGAATTATTAGCCAAAGATTATATCACTTGAATATCAGAAAGAAAAATAGGACAACCACTCCAGGAGAGGGAGTAAATGAATCAGTGATAAGCACAAATGGATCCCAACTACTGTGGATCTCATCTAGTTGATAAGTTATGAATAACACGTCAATAAATAAGTTTACTAGTTTAGTTTGCTAAAAAAGATATAATGGTACTACGATGTAGCAGCTGAGGAAGATATTTACATCTAAGAGAAAAGTCTAATGTGAAAAATAAGAAAAAGGAAGGGATACTTTGATAACTTGTTTATTCAATATATACTAGAACCCTATTTGTAGGTATCAGACTCAACATATATAAAGATTTGTCAATGTGTGAGAATATCCAACTAAAGAACTTAATTCTTTCAAAAATGTAATTCTAACACTCTAACACTGGCACTTAACATTCTCACATGCCCGCTAAGGTTGAAAACCAGTTTGAGTTTATTTATGGTTAAAAACATAAAAAGATTCAATAGGCATCACAAAACTTGCTGAAAATAGTCAGAAAAAGTTTGGTCACTTGGAATTTATTGAAAAAGTGGCTGTTGGAAAATGACCCGAAAGAGGTGATATTGCCAGGAACTATCGCTACAAAAGAGAGCACAGTGCAGTCAAGGCAGGGAGCCTGGAACAGAATGTTTTGGTCCCATAGCATGTCCATCACATGCTCCCCCTCCAGTACCAAACACAGAGCATGCGGCGCATGCTCATCGCGAGGGAGGTCTGGGTTCAGCTCATCACAACAGCATGCAGTTATTGGAACTTGGATTCCTGGTACGGACATGACTCCAGGCAAAAATTCAGAATAATGAAATAGTTGGGTTCTTGATTGCCCACGTGAGCACTTGAAAAGAGGATAGTTTCATATGTGGACCTTAAGCAAGAGGTTAGTTAAGAGGACACGAGTGTATTTTACACTCAAGATTATGATATATTAGGTGATATGCAGGCAGGAAATTAGAAGACTACAAAGGCGTAAAAGACAAACTTGGAAATTTCATATGTGAGTAAATGACGATGCATGTACCACAGACTTCAACATTGTGGCTGCTTGCAAACTGAGATTAACTAGCTTTACCTTTTCAGCCAAGCCAACTACCAAGTATACTTGATAGTAAACAACTTCTTAGGCTCACTGCCACAAGTCCACAACCATAGTTTCAGGGATGATTTGTTCAGAACACATGAAAGAGCCTTTCAGTAAATTTATCTTATAACCACATTGGGACAGCCCTTAACAGTGACATGAGCCAATTTTTGCAGATTTTCCGAAGTAATTAATCCCAGTACCCATTCCTCAAGCCAAGTGAAACAGAGAAGACTACCCATGCTTCATCTTTTCACCATGATGTCAGCACCAACTTAGAGGTCTTCACACCATCAGCTTAGAAGAGTATGCATGCAGTGCAAGCACCACCACGACTATTTTCTATATGAAAATGCTTTATCTATTCTCTGTACCTAAATGTACTATATATNCACAGAGAAGAAAGAATACAATATTGCTAACAAGAAGAAATAAGAAAACAGAAAAGGAAGCATCCAATCCAATGAATGACACTTTTCTTGTCAGGAAGTTATAATTAGAAAATGTGTGAACCTTATCTACCACAAATAATTAAATCCACATAAAAGGAAGCTCCCTTGATGAGTGCAGCGTAATATCATTGTTAGTCTGACACTCAACCTTGGTTTTTAGCATAAATACATTACCAGCCAATTGAAACTTCTATTTTTGTTTTTTGATTAGTCAAATAAATTTCAACAATATCAAACTAACTCAGTGTCACAAATATATAGATAGAGAAATATATAGTGCAAAAATACCATACAACAAGTATAAGCAAGTATTTCCTCCATAACAAAGTTTAAAAGCAAGTCCCTTTTTTTGACATAA